TACCTTGTTATATTTTTATCAGAATGTATTAAGAACACCTCCAAGGTGGTTTCCTCGTCGTGCATCTCATGGTATTTTGACTTTCAATAACGTTTTTCCAGTGTTTGCTTAACTTCAATCTACGGAGGTTACACGTTCATCCCTTCTCGGTCAAAACCTTCGTTTTTATCAGTCGTATCCGGTTGACCATTTTCTCTGCAGGTATTAGAGCCTGGCCTTTGTTCACCCTATCCTAACCCATTTCTCCTTTCATGGCTTCATTGCTGCCTCCACGCCTCTCTAGACAGAGTGATAATACAGGTCTAATCCCTCTCTTCTCCCAATCCCACCGTCAAATGAAAGAAAGGATATAAGCACATTACAAATCTCATTACTAGGCTTTAGGTATGCCTCTGTGCATCTCTGTGCTGCGTACAAGTACCTCATCAGCTGCTTACAGTAGGTGAACAAAGTGTTGACGGAGAGGCGGTTCAGTAAAGCGTATGTTGATGCCAATTCGTGGGTTTCATGCATTTTTGTGTGCTTACTATCCTGTAACAAGTGGGATGGGTATTAATGGCTTAAAACTAAAATCGCACAGTCGCAGTGTTGAAAAAAATGTGTGCACGGATAGAAAAACATTTGGAGATTTCCTTCCACTGAGCGTGTTTTTAGATGTCTGATTCAATAAGTCATGCTTGGTTATGATTCATATTATTCACGTTACTTCGCTGTAAATTTGTGTTTACGGGGCATGCTGGGTAATGGGCTCAGGCAGAGAAAAGGTGCTGATGAACATGTCAGATTAATGCAGCTCATTGTTTAATTGCCTTCAAAAGGGGGCAGGTGCCTCAAATCACTGCAGTTCACAAAATAAGAAAACCAAGAAACTGCAGGGAGGGAGAAAATGCACGCAGCAGAAAAATGACAGGTTGTACATCATCCCAAACAGATACGTTACTGTCACTGTGGAAAAAACTGCATCATTTTATCCATTAACTCCATAAATACACCCAATAAATACTAAATGTAAACATTTTTGTAATGTTTCTGTCTGGCAATTTAAATAATACATACTGGGGATGAAACCGTTTCCTGTGTTGAAGGTTAATGGGGTTAGTATTACTATTTTAAATGTAAAATGACTGGAAAAGGTTTCCATTACCCAACACTGTCCTAGAGACAGATAGACGACATCCTTAAAAAAAGCACAGAGTTTAAAGAGTATTTTAGATTTTACTGAACTAAACTGCTTTTTTCTGAGTATTGTATTGTATTGTATTGGTGTACATATGTTTTATCTTTTATATTTTATTCGCACCTTTATGCCGAAGCAAGTTCCTAGTCTGTGAATCCTGTTCACTGACAATGGCAATAATAAACTGAATCGGAAAAATTATTTTTTTATGCACAACAAAATCTAAGTAATCTACATGACCAAAGTCAGCTGCTAACTACTCTCCAGCTGATGAACAGCAAGTTAACTTTTAGCCTAAAGAGTTTTAGTAAGGATAAGTAAGGGTGAGGTGAGCGGGACTCAGGAGCTCAGTCCTCACCTCCTTCTACAAGTGTGCAGTGGAGAGCATCCTGTGCTCCAGCATCAACGTGTGGCATGGAGGCTGCACAGCTGCAGAAAGAAAAGCTTTGCAGAGAGTGGTGAAGGCTGCACAGAAGTCTGTTGGAGTCAGTCTCCCCACCATCACATACATCTACACCTACAAATGCAGGAAGAGGGCCACCTGCATCATGAAGGACCCCACTCACCCAGCACACACACTTTTTGCCCCGCTCCCCTCAAGCAGGATGTTGTGGAGCATTAAATGTAGAACCACTAGACTGAGGAACAGCTTCTACCTTGAAACAGACTCATAAATCTCTAACCAGACAAATCACTGCAACGCCACTTTAACAGGAGATTCGTCACTTTATATGTGCTGCTGATCACCCATGCTGCTGATTTCTTACCCATAAGCTGCTGTATTCATACCCATCTGCTCACAACAAACTCAAGTTCCGGCTGCTGTTTAATACACCTTATTATATTATTGCTTGGCGTGTATTTTAGATCCTTACGGTTCTTTTTACGCTTTATATTTTTGCTGTTTTTGGGTATAACTGGGACTCTGAGTACAAAATTCCATTCCACCTCATGTACCACATGTGATGCGAATGACAAAGAACCTTGAACCTTGAAGGCTCATTCAAAGCATTTCAGGGGTGAAAATTATGTGTTTATCAACCCATAATGGGCCAAATATCACCGATGCCGATATGTCCCCAAATGCCTATATCGGCCTAAAATCTCGGCCCTAACGATACATCGGTCAGACTCTACATTAAAGAATTTCACTTGAATTGCTCCAACGTGGAGGCATTTTCTGATGATTATCTTCAAACCTTTCACATTAAATGCACCAAACAGATGTGTTAAAAACACTTCTGTAACATATGACGTCTACTGAAATAGCTCAGTGCTCGTTAAGGCACAATAACCCTGATGCTTTTTGTGTTGTGTTTGTGTTGCAGTCTGTAATTAGCCCCCTACATATTTGTTAATTTGTTCGACAAACATACAGCGGGTGTTAAACCTCTGGTAACAGTTTTCAAACGAGGATAAAGACATTACCCACTGCACAACTTCTCTTATTTGGTTCACTTATCTAATCCTTAAAACTATTATTGTGTTGCAAAAAATAAAAGTGTTTAAAGTATATTTTCAAAGCCAAAGACTTGGATCTTACAACGGAGAGGACCGTGTTGGTTCGTAAGTGAGTGAATGAGCAACTCCGTAAAATACTGCTGCCAGAAAAAAAACAGAGCAATACTGAGATATTTAAATTAATTAGAGGTATTGCTTTTAAAAAAAAAAAAATGCAATATGAATGCCGACTGTCTGATAAAACAAAACATTAGCCAAATGCAAAAATGAGCAAACCACTATCTAAAAGCTAAAATAAGCAAAATGCTAACTATAGGCCAAAAGCTGCAGAATGATTGCTGAAAGCTAGTGGTATTAAATGATGGAGAGAAGCTAGAAGAAAACACTGGCAAAAAGTAGAAAATAAGCTGAAAGTAACTAAATGGTACCCAACACTAAAATCTTAAAAATGCTAGCTAAAAGTCAAAAGTATCAAAAAGCAAGCTCAAGGTGGGAAAACAAAATTAAAGCAGCTAAAGGCTAGCCAAAAGTCTGAAAAGACAAGCTAGAAGTATAAAAAGAATAGAGGCTAAAAGAAGAAAACAGCTATTTAAAAGTAGCTAAACAGTAATTAAAAGCAACAGAGGGCGTGGTGGGACAGAGGTTAGCCAAGTTGGGCAGTGATCGGAAGGTCGTCGGCTCCACTTCCCGTACAGACAACATCAAAATGTGGGTGGGAAAGGTGACACACCCACACATGCTGGCTGGCTGACTGGCTACAAAGTAAAAGTATCTAAAGTCTGGCTACAAGCCAAAATAAAAAAATAATTTAAAAAATAGCAAAGGGCTAGAGAAAAGCTAAAAGTAGCATGGGAAAACACAAACAGAGCCAGTATGCTGGAACAGATGGGACACTGTTTTAGAAGGTACTGGAGATTCTTATTTTTTTGGGGGGAAAATATAAAATATATCTCAATATTTTAAAAAGCCTTAAAGTGAGAAAAAGCTAAAGTCATAGCAGCCATGTCAACGAGCCGAACAGTTTGATATAAGAATGAACTAGCACAGTTTGCATGCTTTAAACCCATTTAAAACACCCCCAATAATATCGATAACCATGCTAAACATGCATATAATACATGTGGTGGTAAAAGTCAGCATGACTGTACAACATCCAACACGGTGCTGGAGTTGACCAAGAGAGAAAGAAATCCTCAGCAGAGCTCCACTCCAGAGACTTTAAGAAGCTGAAGGAGCTCAGAGAGCAGATTGGTCGCTGGCCTTTGCCGGTGCCGAGCAGAGAGGGAGAAGTGGAGAACTTCTGCCTTCACAAACAATGAGCTGTGATCACAGTTCAGCAGAGCACTCCGGGCTGCAAACCTTTTCATCCCACAGTGCCAAACAGAGTCCGTTTAGAAGGGCCTTTCTGCCTGCAGCTATCGGACTGCTCGACAGCTCGTTTGTCATTTGGCGGGCGCCGTTATCCAAAGAGTCCTATAGACTCACAAGTGTCGACATTTTCAGTAACGGTGCCCCTCAAAAAAAATAAATAAACCACTTCACCTCTTTTTAAAATACGGAATCAGTTCAATAAAGGTGATGAATGAGAACATCGCGTTTAAATACAGCAAATAATAAAAGGATGAGCATTCCTTTAAGGAAAGCATATCGCCACGTGCATGTTTTAGATCATATTATGTTGAGATGGGACAAAGTTGTAGCCATATTGGTCAAACTTGCACAATAAATCTCATGAAATATCAAAATGTGATGTTCAGGGTGTGTGTTATGAACAACCACACCAAATACAAGCTCAATGTCTGTAAAATTGACTGAATTAGTCATTTTTGCCTTGGCTAATGTTAGCTGTGGCAGCCATGCTGAATCCCCATTGACTCCAAAAGTTAAATCAGTAAATGACTATTTACTGGAAGTTCTCTCAAAATCTGACCGGTGGTTTACAAGATATTCTGGCTACAGACAAGTGTAAACATTATCGTCCACCTTCACCTTTCAGTGACATGGTAACCAATAAATAAGGCGAGGTCGGTGAACAAAGCAAGGCTGATTCTGGCAGATCCTGATCATCCACTCCATGATGAGTTCAGGTTGCTTCCATCTGGACGCAGGCATCTGCAGCCCAGATGGACGAACACACTGAAAAACTCATTCATCCCTGTAGTGATCAGGCTACTCAATGAACAGTGATGATTTCTGTACCGTTACTTTAATGTCTCAATGTCTTGTCTAGTATGAATGTTTTGTGTGCCAATTGACTGTGAAACCAATTGTCCCTTGGGAGATTATTGAACTTGAACAAATGCTGGAATACATAAAACTACAGATATTCCTTTAGCTTCAGCAGAATAAAACCTATACATACCCACAGTGACAGAAGGGACAACAGGGTCTATGGACGAGGGCTTAGCCTTCACTGGGATGGGTGTGGTTGGTCCATTAACCATCACATGACCTGGATAGCGGGAAGAAATGTGAAATGCAGTCAGAATAAAGAAAGAAAAGTATTTTAGCACTGATTACATTAATTGCCCATTGATCTTGCACATTATAGTTACACGTTACTTATTCTTTCATTTGGAAGTTCAAGAACTTGAATTCAACTCTTGCATGAAGACATTTTATTCAAACCTGCCTGATATTTTTTTTTAATTTGCCTGAGGATAGGGGATCACCTCTTGTCCCTTGTTGTTGAAGGATTTAAATACTGGGTGGTGAACAATTGTAGTTTTTGAGGAGAGTACTTTTCTGGACTGGAAATGAACAGGCAGTGCAAGTAAACTTGTTTTTGGTGCAAGATATTCAGCTAGTAGGAGTTACACTTTGTAGAAGAACAGAGGTCGTTCTTTTTTTGGATCCTGGCGAGCGGAGGGAGCAATTTATCCACCAATGGTGGGGCCAAGGGATGGCCAATGGTGGACTTGGATACCAAAGATTAATCTTCAGCAGATACCACAATCATACAATATAAAAACTACAACACATCTTGGATTCTGACATAGCAACCCAGACTTCGAAGGAAACCTTTCTTACATCTAGAAGCAGCCACACAACAAAAAGGAAGTTGGTCTGTTGATTATTTTTCGAGTTATCCACCTCACAAGGTTTTCATACCGTATTTAATTGCCAGCAGCCGTCTTGTATTTTGACGTGGCAACCTAATTCTGGAAAGTAACTTTTCTTAAACTAGAAGAACCCACACACAGAAATGGAAGTCGGTACTTCACCTATTTTTTCCCCAAGTTATCGCACATACAACATGCACGGATGGACGGACGGGCGGTATTTTATTTTCTATTCTCCCTTTTCACTCCACGACGGGGAACAATAAATTCCTCATCTACAAATATCCTGAACAATTCAACTCTTTAGTTTCCAAAAAAGTAATACATTTCACAAATTAGAAGCCACAAATGCCATGATGGCTCTGTTCCAGATGGTTGCAGAGTTATTAACCTTTATTTTCTGCTTACGAAGACCTACTTTTGTGTTGAGGTTTAACAGTTCATGCAAGCAAACGTGCTGCGAAGTAGAACCCCTTCATTAAAGTCATTGTTTGATGATGATGTGGTGTTTATTGAACACTGACCGAGGTAGTGCAGCAGTTTTTGTGCTCTGTTTTGAGTGGGCTTCAGGTTGAAGAGCTCGGGGTTCTCGTCAATGAACTGGGTGTCCACGGTGGAGTGCAGGAACTGATTGTTGGAAAAGACGTTCTGGAGGAACGGGATGTTGGTCTGGAGATAGAAGGACAAAGAGGAGAAGAAAATCGTTAGGGTTAGCCTTTTTCGAAAAGCTTATTTTTAAATGTTTAGCGCTCAAACTTCCATCAGAGTAAATACAAAAATCAACTAGAGGCTGCAGTTATGCTGCAGTCTCAAATTTGGAAAATGTTTGCTTGAAGCTCAGGGAAGCAGAACACGCGTTAACAAACGGCAGCTTTACAAAATCTCGCTTGAGTTCTGAGAAAAAAACAACAACTTGTCCCGTCTTTGAGTCAAAAACAGAAACTACTCACAGAAAACAGTCAGCAGCCGGAATTACATTTATTTTACTGATGGTGTTTGCAACAACATAATCATCATGCCAATTAAACGATGAGTTATCAAGCAGAGGGAGAATGTGCGACAGAGAAAACAATTATTCATTTCAATACGCGACTTGTCGCCATTTTTCTCGACTAGAAAGCCCATCTGGAACAACGCAGTGAGACTGTACCCAATTCAATTAAATATAAATAAATAAAAATGTCTTCTGTGGATTTGCCATGGATGACTGAGAATCTTAACCAGTACACTGCACCAAATTGTTGGAAGAAGTGAAAAGTTTGGGGTTAAAAAGAAATACAACCAATAAATAAACAGAGATTAAACAAATATACAAACAAACAATTAAAAAAAAACACTAATTGAAAAGAAGCGTAAATATATTATGAAAAGTGACTATTGGGGAAAAAAAAAAAGTAAATTAAGACCTAGCATTGCTTGAAGAAATGCATGTCATCCTTCGCCTTTCAGAATTTTAGACTAAGTTCATCGTGTTGAGAAATTAAGAGTTATAGCTGTTTAGGACAACCACCATTTCAAACTGAAGAACAGAAACAAAGTATTGTTAAGACACAATAGACAGCTTTGAAATAAACACATTTTAAACGTATGTAGCTAGCAAGGGACCATCTATAGATGTTTGCTAGTTAGCTTCTTAGCTGGTATCTAGCAGACTAGCTAGTATCTTGCTAGTTAGCCTGTTAGCTAGTACCTTGCTAATTGAATAGCTAGTTAGCCTGTTAGCAAGTACCTTACTAACTGAATAACTAGTTAGTTAGCCTGTTGGCAAGTACCTTACTAACTGAATAACTAGTTAGCCTGTTGGCAAGTACCTTACTAACTGAATAACTAGTTAGCCTGTTAGCAAGTACCTTACTAACTGAATAACTAGTTAGTTAGCCTGTTAGCAAGTACCTTACTAACTGAATAACTAGTTAGTTAGCCTGTTAGCAAGTACCTTGCTAAATGACTAGCTAGTTTGCTTGTGAGTACCTTGTTAATTGAAAAGCTTGTTAATTAGCCTGCTAGCTAGTACCTTGCTAATTGAATAGCTAGTTAGCCTGTTAGCAAGTACCTTGCTAATTGAATAGCTAGTTAGCCTGTTAGCAAGTACCTTGCTAACTGACTAGTTAGCCAGTACCTTGCTAACTGAATAGCTAGCTAGAAAGTCTGTTAAAGCTAACAGTTACTTTTAACTACTTACTAACAGAGTGAACCATTTCAAAAGTTGTTAGGAACTTTGAAGTTAGATGACTATCAAAAAGACAACTTCTTCACATTTCTTTAGACGAGTTTGTAAAAATAAATATGTTTTGGCAAACATAAAAATTACTTAAGCACCACTGAAGTGATTTGCCAAGAGCTATTGGCTGTAAAACGTAAACAGTTGATCAAATGTAGTATGATATGTTGTCTCAGGTGTGTGATATTTTTTTTTTTCCAACGTTAATCCACAATCTTGTGATATTATGATTCGTCACACACAGAATGTGTCGTGAAAGACTCAGCTACTACCACAACAAATATCTAAGTATCTGTAAAACTGAGCTATAGTCATGTTCATGTTGGTTAAAGTCCTTTCGCTAGCGTGGCCATCTTGAATTGAACCGACACCAAATCCAATGGTCTTGAGATATTTTGCTGACAGACAAACTGGGTTGATGCTAACAGGTAACGGCAATGCTTTAGCATGTGTTGGGGATGACGGTTCATTAGAATCACACTGAATTTAGGCTCTGCGGCCACCTTGAATTGAGTTGACTCCAAGCGTCCATAAGTTATAAATGCACATCCAATAATTAGCTACAGACAAATGAACACATACACAAGAAAACAATAATTCCTTCAGTGGAATTTAAGACAGAGCTACCAAGTATGAATGAAAATACAGAATAATAGCTGAAGTTCATAAATTTGATACTGGAAGCTTGTAATATTTGATAAGTCTACTTAGGACATATAAACCAAACATTTCATGTCTTTTGCATTTTAACAGGAAGCCTATGTTCAACAACGGTATGATTTTTATCCCCAGTGGGTGTTTGGGTTGTTTACTTGTTCATCTTTAAAAAAATAAAATAAAAATACTACAAAGAGTCCTCAATGTTCCAGGATTCTGGTGGAGAATTTTTTATCACCATGATAAAATTGAAGAAAGCCTCTGCATGTTTTGTGAGATAATCACATCCCGAGCAAGGGGAAATGTTTTTTTTATTTCCTGAGATGAATGGAGATAAACATAAACTGACAATGTATTCTCAGCCTCTTGCTACAAAGAGCAGAGATGGTGAGGACAAAATAGGAGAGCTGAGGGACTCACACTGCTGTGCTGCACTGCAACGCCCCAGGCTACGAGCGGTGGACCAAAACAAAAAGCTCAGTGCTGTAACTGCACCACGCTTCAAAAGCAGGACGACATATTCTCCTGCATTTACAGCAGCTGCCAACAATAACTGCTCTTTTATACACGCACTGCTGCTCCTCATACTTGTGTCCAAGCAGTGGAACGAAATCACGATCTGCTCTGTATGTTCATACCTAGGACCTTTTGTTTCTTTGTACTTTGCTAATAAAGTGGTCTTCATTAATAGTTGCTCATAACTTTACAAATAAGCTGCTTTATCACTCATTGCCAGTCGAATACCTAATATTTTCAGGTTTATTTATTGCTAAACCACCAAAAGATGAACTTTGAATAATTTAAGCATGTAAAGTTTTCAATAACGATTATACAACTCACTCACGGGCTTTTTGAAACTATAAAAAAAAATATATATTAGTCAAGTCAAGTTTATATTTATAAAGCACATTTAAAACAACAGCTGTTAACAAAGCGCTTAACAATAAGATAAAGACAGTAAAAGAGAAAGGTAATTAAAAGCAACAACAACAACAAAAAAAAAACAACAAACACCAAAATCAATGAGAAACAATGAAATACTAAATCAAATCACACCATGTTATAAGTCAGTGAATACAGGTGTGTTTTTAGGAGATTTAAAAGCAGGGGGTGAAGTGGTCTGTCTAATGTTGAGGGGCAGATTGTTCCAAAGTTTCGGGCCCACGACTGAAAAAGCCCGGTCTCCTCTGAGCTTCGGCCTGGTTTTTGGTACAACCAAAAGCAACAGGTCAGATCTCAGCGCCCAAGAAGGAGCATATAGTTAAAGTAGGTCACAGGTATGAGGGCGCAAGGCCATTAAGGCACTTAAATGTTAACAAGAAAATTTTAAAATAAATTCTGACATGTGCCGGGAGCCAGTGAAGGGAGGACAAAACTGGTGAATTGTGTTCAAAGCTGGAGACGTGAAAAAGAAACCTGGCCGACTCCAACTTAAAACGCGTTACAGTAGACTAGCTGGGCTGTAACAAAGGCATGGACTATTTTTTCAAGGTCAGATCTGGCACGACACGGACTTAAGTTTAGCTTTCTGCCTTAACTGGAAGAAGCTTTTTTGTAGAACAGAGTTCATACGTTTATTAAACTTAAAGTCAGAGTCTAAAACCATCCTAAGATTCATAACAGCCTGCTTAAGATAAAGCTGAAGAGAGTCAAGATTTACAGGATCAGAAGACAGTGACTTCAGTTTCCTGATGATTAAAACAAAAAAAAAAAAATTGAAGCCTTCCATGCTTTAATGTCATCAAGACATTTTAACACAAGGTGAATGGAGCAAGAACTGTTGGGTTTTAAGGGCAGATAAAGCTGACAATTATAAGTATAACAATGAAAGGCCATGTTTCCTCAGGATAAACCGCAAAGGGAGCAGAGTGTGAAAACAAAAGGGGTCCAAGAATCGAGCCATGTGGGACCACAGGAAAGAGGCACTGACGCAGATACACTATTTCCAATCTAAACACAGAAACTACTGTCACTTAGGTACAAACGGAACCATTCCAATACTGCACCTGTAATCCCAACCCAGTGTTCTAACCTTGATATAAGGATACTGTGGTCAACAGTGTCAAAAGCAGTGGGAAGGTCCACGAGTGCAAGTATCGCAAACTGACCAGAATCATTTGCTCACAGAATGTCATTATAAACCCCAACTAAAGCTGTTTCGGTGCTGTGTAATTGCTTAAAACCAGACTGAAAGATTTCAAAAACTCCATTCTCATTCAAAAACTCTTAGTTGAATAAAAACTATTTTCTCCAGGATTTAAGAAAAGAAAGGGAAGTTTTGAGATTGGTCTGAAATTTGAGCAGGCTCAAGGGTCAAGTCCAGGTTTTTTAATTAATGGATTTACTGCTGCATGTTTAAAAGCATCAGGGACCACACTAGCAATACGGCTAGTTATAATTGCAAGAACAGAGGGTCCAATCGATGGTTAAACTTGTTTAAAAAACGAAGCAGGGATGGGGTCAGCAGGGGAACCAGAGGGTTTCATACGACCAACAGCATCACTGAGAAATGAGTGAAATGGGTTCAAACTGATTGAAGACCGCTAAGCAAGGGACAAGGACAGAGGGGTCAGATGTGGGAGTGAGGGATCGATGACCTAATCGACTCAAACTTTTATTATTAAAGCTGGTTGCTAAAACCACATTTTTATCAAGACAATTCTTCATGAAAAATCAATTGTTGGGCAATACAGAAAATAATAAAGATAACTGAATTTCATTCTTCTCATTGTGCAATTGCATTCTTGTTTTTGGGAGCAGATATGTAATTTTGTACACTTCAAGCAACGAG